AAAAAAAAAAAAAGGGTAAGCTAAACAGAAAAAGAATCTTAACCGTGGAGGAAGGAGTAGAGCGGTGGAATGGAGTCAGAAGTCTGGCAGAGCGGTGACAGAAGTTCGGCGAAGCACCTGCGATGGGGAGGAGTGGTGATAGGAGTACGGCGAAGCACTGCGATGGGGAGGAGAGGAAGGAGGGAGAGAGAGAATTGGGGGAGGCAAAGAGACGTGTGAAAAGTGGTCGTAGGGTTTAGTTTAGTTTTTTTTATTTTTATAAATTTTTAACTAAAGAAAAATATAGAAAATATTATCTCCTTAAAAAAAAAACTAATATAATTTTAATGAGGTGGTTGTCCACATCAGCTGCCATGTAAGATGGTATTAAAATGTGGTAGATTTATGTGGTAAGCATAGCATTACCCAAAATATTAGAGTATGTGACATTAGGGAAACAGTTTACATAATTAGTATTCAGTTAATATGAAGAAAAAAAAAGATCTAACTTTCAAATTACTAGCATCTATTATGAAACTACACTAAACAAACATGTTTTGTTCAACTCAAAAAGAAAATTTGGCAGAGTCAACATATCGAGGGCCGGAAGACACTAATTTTTCAAAAAAAACCCTCTTTATTATGATAAAGATTTTTAATGTAAATTGGTACAATGAGGGCTAAGCCCATATAACAACTAAACATAAATCAATCTATGCCTTAAAAGGTCATCCCTGTCATCTTGAAGGACACCAATAATACTACAAGAGAGTCAGCAGCAAAGTAAACCTCCCTGTAAATATGAAAGATGTTGTAGTCCCAGGAACTCTTCCAACACGCTCTACATTTATTAAGTTTTAAATCTCATGCAAATTATGTCTAATTTCTTCTAATTTCGTCCAAAATACCCCTCCACACAATTAAAACCACAAGGACAAAAGTGGAAAATTCGACAAATTAGAGAGACCAAAAGTGATTTGGCCTTCACTTATTATTAGGCAATATCACGTGTGGCCTAGATGCAAGTCACGTATTGTTTTGGCATCTATATATGGACGGACCTAGAATTTTAAAAATGGAATGGGCTAATCCACACATAAATATGAAGAAGTCAATGGGTTTAGTCCAGTCAACAGGTTTAGTTCAAACAAGACTTCAAATTTAGGGCTTTAGTAAACAGTATTACAGAGTTACACAGTTCAGAAAGAATACGATAAAAATATGTCGTAGGAAGGCAAGGTTTGTCTTGAGGTCCACCCAAATTAAAATTCACAACACCATTGGCATACAATACATAATATATATAACACATCCTTTCTATACAAAGTATTTTGAAAATGGGTGAGTTGGTCGAATGTTGTTTTGGAATGGTTGGGTTAAGTGTTTTTGTGAGCGGCAATGGTTGTGTTAATTATTGTATTTGTGGTCTGAAATTACCATGTTCATAAAATTCTCTTTGAAAAGCTCTTTCGTTCAATTTTGGTAAAATAAGGGTATACAACAAAAAATGATACGTAATGATACCAAAGTGTCGTGTTTATTGTATTTGATTTGAGATTTTTCCCAAGAAAATTAGTAGTGGTTTCAAATTAGAGTTGTATGGTGTACGGATCCTTAGAGGAAAAATGAAGTGGCAATTTTGGTAATCTCAAACATGTTTTTATTTATTATGTATATTTGCAGTTTGATACTATTTCGATGCCTTTTTGATGATTGAATTACAATCATAATTAATTATTTGATACATGCAAATCCGAATTTGTTTCAATTTGAGCCCATCTAGACTCCTGCGTTTGACCCATCGTTGAGTGAAAATCACTGATCAAACCAATTTTTCGACAATCATAGAGAAGCATATAGCAATTTAAACCCCTACTTTTACCCACAAAAACTTACATATATTGAGTTTCATAGCTTAGTGTGTCCACAACTCATGTCACATGTTGAGTTTTGTAGACACATAGGTATAAAACCCATTATAAGTACATTTTGCTCCTAAAAACTGAACATTATTTGAATTATATTATTACACAAATCAAACATGAGAATATGAATAAAAACTAATTTGCATACTATAACCAATATCTCCAAAATACTATAATGCAGTAATTTATCTCCATCTCCAGAAATGAGCTTTGTATTGAAGTTCTTAAAGATTCCACTTTGCTAAATAAATGTTACCTAGTAAAATTGGTTATGTCCAAATATGATATTACAACTCCCATAAATATCACGTCCATTTTTCCTGCCATGACTCTGACGTAGAAGTTCGTTTGTTGCAACATCAAGGCATTTCTTACAATTTTTGATAAAAAGGTCCCAATACATTTAGCCGCACCATAAATTGAAGTCTTGTTTGGTATTTGTAGCTCCCACCATAAAGTGAGGTCTCATTTGATATTCGTATTTGCCCACGGGCATACAACGATGGACTAACAACTTTAGAACATACTTGGATTAACAACTCGTGAACTTTCTCATGAATGAATATGGGATCATCAACTAATTTTTATATTGCATTATCGGTGTCAATTATTTCAAAGAAATTTGTATCTGAGTATTTTACGAGGCAATTTGCATCCCAAATAAATAGCTTTTTGACTAAGAGTCAGAAGCTCTTGGCTTGATGCTCGAATACATGTCATGCATAGTGTATCATGGTTATATTGCATCACTGAATTCCAACATTGCGCTAGCCCATATACGAAAATATTTTGTTGCATTATAGATTTACTGATGACCCCACTTTGGTATCCTGAAACTGAAATAAATTTCTTTAGAAAATAATTCTATGATTAATGTATCAAAGTTAGTCTCGTAGAACCCATTAGCTAGAAATTCTAGGCGATTGAAACATTTATATCCCAAAAAAAACGAGCTCCAAAGATCTCCCCGAGAAAAATAGGGAATGGTAAAAGACCTAGAAGAAATAATGATTTTGAGTGAAACATATTCAATAGAATTGAACTTGGATTCAATTTAATTCTTAAAACAACTATATTTATATGACAATTATGCTGCGTTTATTTATATGACA